GGAAAGCATTTCAATCATGTCCCCTCTGTTGTGTGTCTTTCCTTCCTAGAACTCTTACAGATAAGGAGGAGGGCACAGGACTGGACAGTGTCACCAGCATCACTGCCCCAACCCCCCGTGACGTGTACTGGGTCTTGCCCATGAGGTCAGCATTGAAATTTCTGTAGGGCCATTTCCTCCTCTCGCTGCCAGTGAGTCCATTCTGACTCCCAGCGGCCCTTTAGGGCAGAGTAGAACTGCCCCGTGGGTTTCCAAGGCTGTAACTGTTTACAGGAATAGAAAGCCTCCTCCCGTAAGGCGCCTGGTGGTTTGGAACTGCTGACCTTGTGGTTAGCAGTCCAACATGTAACTACTAGACCACAAATCTGTCCTGGAAGAGGTACAGCCAGAGTGCTCCTTAGAGGCAAGGATGGCAAGACTTTGCTTTACATACTTTGGACATGTTATCAGACGAGACCAGTCACTGGAGAAGGCCATCGTGCTTGGTAAAGCAGAGGGTAATTGATAAGGAGGATGGCACAGGACAGGCCAGTGCTTTATTCTGTTCTACATAGGGTCACTATGAGTTGGAACTGACCAACAGCACCTGACAACAAGCATTGGACTGCTAACTGCAAGGTTGGCGGTTCAAACCTAATAGCCAGTCTGCGGAAGGAATATGCAGGTGACTGTCTACTCCCCAGATTTTCAGCCTTGGAGACCCTGCAGAGGGTCGCTATGGGTCGAAATGAGTCATCTTTTCCTCTAAATTCTAGATTCACTTTCTCTCCAGTTTACTAATTTGTCATCTATATCCACTTGGCTGATTTTCTCTTTTTGTTATACGTTTACTATCATGCTTTACATTTCTTATTACCTATTTATTTTTTCATACTTGTTTTACAGATACATACCCAACTTTTATTTTTCCCCAGTGGATATGCATCATCACACTCGCTTTTGTTCTCTCCTGCTTGACCATTTCTCTTCACTTGTTTCTTTGCCTTAGCCTTTGGCTCATGTTTTGGGTTCCCCTCAAACATATATGAACAAAGTGACATTCATGAACATAGAAGCTCTGTGAATGGGTAGAGGTTGGGAGTGTTGACCAGAGGCTTCACTTCAGAATGCTCAAAATGGGACCTGCAGGCACAAGTGGTTTGCGAACCCCTTACTAAATGGCCAGCATGAGAGGAAAGCTGCTTCCCCTCCAACACCCGCCCCCCACCCCCGTTTTCCACTCCGCATCCTTGTCTTCTGTGCCTTGGGCTCCACCCAGCTCTGTTCTGTGGTCCCCAGGCCCGCACTCAAAGTGATTCCCATCACTTTTCTTGACCTGAGGTCCGAATTCACTGGTGAACACTGCTCAAGGTCGGGGAGATAAGACTGGCTGGCTGAGTGGGCGAGACCATTCCGAAAGTAGTTCTTGACCCTGAATATTGCTGCTGGGCCCCGCCTTCTCTTGGTATTTGTGCATCTGAAGTTTCTCTGGCTCTTTTTGCCTTCACAGCACATTTATATCCTGTATCTGTTTATACGGTATTCATTTTGCACCTAATAATGTGCTTCTATTCCCTATGATCTCTCCAAATTGCCTCAAAAGTTCAACTCTTTCAGTGGCACGGTTTCTTGTTTTCCACTAGCATTATGGATGTACTTATTACAAATGTATCATTGACATAGTGAGGCACTTTAGACACGAAAGGAGGTTGAGGAATATGGTGAGCCCACCCTCTTCCTTCAGCACTGAGACCGCTTCGTGGTGGCTTACATCCGCTTGCAGTGCCTCTGGCGGGTTCTGGCTCCTGTCTTCAGGCTGTTGTAACACAGCTGGGATCCTGTGGCTCAGTCTTAGTTATCCTTCCCAGCTGCCCTGCGGCTTAGATGTATGGAAGCCACTAGTGACGATTCGATGGGAACAGGTTTTCTCCCCCACTCTCTATGGGTCTCAATATTTGAAGTCAAGGATCATGTCTTACGATTTTTCTATATTTCCAAACAGTGTTGAACACATGAATAGAAACTATGTACAGCCGCATTAAAGAATACTGTCTCTACTTCTAGAGAAGCCCTGGTGGCATAGTGGGTTATGCATTGGGCTTCTGGC